ACGTGATGTCATGCTCAACCGCAGTTTGACACAGTGTCTGATTCTGTATAATTGTAGGGTTGCGTTCTTTTGCCTGCTCCTCCAAGAGGCCGCCTTATGGCACGCAGGACTTTGACTTGACTTGACTTGTATGTTGACTGTTTCTGTGTTGTGCATGCACTTTACGTAGCCGGCTGTTTCTTCCAATGTTAGTTTCGGTTTTGTTGCTGCGGTATTTGGATGTGGTTTCTGGTAGTTGTTTCTAGTAACTTGGTATGTCTGTAATGCTTGTCTCGCATGCTGGCAATATTTTCTCGTATGTTGGTCCTTTGCGCGTGACGACCGCCGTGCCGGACATTCGGCATCCTGGCGGGACACGCTGCCTGTCACCCACGCACGTGCACCTGCAGCCGCTGCCAGACTTCTCCAAGCCTTGCACGGCGACGCCGCCCTTCCCTCCATGCCGCCGCAGTCGCCGCGCAATCACATCTGCGACAAACCGGCTAAGATGCCATGGACTGGGATACCGAGGGTGAGGGTGCTGGCACGCGCAGACACCCGCCGTCTGAGCATGCGACGAGCGGGCGTTAAAGATACACCTTTCTGAACTCGTGTGCTGCTGCTCTTGCATCATAAGCACAAGACTTAAATATATTTACAAGAGTTGGTTTTTTGCCATTTTCCACCATACAAAACATACAAAAAATACAAAAAATATCGCCAACATACCAGAAAATAACACAAACATACGAGAGAATACCACCAGTCAGTCAGTCAGTAAGCCTCGTATAAAAACACATGGGCAGACATACCGTCTTACAGGCGCTTAGCACGTGCGAAGACAATATGTTTGGACGCTTTGTTTGAACGACTGGCCAAGCAGCGTTGGAGTCGTCCACCGAGGCTTAACTCTCGAGCCACCAACTCTAGTACCAGGTGGGATCCTAGCCGCTCGCTTGGCTTTGCCAGGTGGAGCCCCGCACCTAGTAGATACCTGCGTGTTTCATCAAAATTGTGTTGAACTTGTCATCGCTTGCTATTACAAAGCAGAAGATCAGCCAGGATACACGCACCCAGGAACTCTCCATCTCAACGTTGCACTGGCGCATTCTGCTCCCAGGCAGGAGGGCTGGAGTGCTGTCCGGCAGTGCCTCTTCAACACACTGGCTGCCGGCGATTCTGTGTACGGACTGGCGCACAATATGGGCCGTGTCTGGCCGCTGTTGTGGTTGCGCATGTGCGGGGCGTGTCTTTTGAATCTGCACTTGACCACATGCGGAACATACGTGCTATCACACCAGAGCCTGTCATCACTCGCGATAAGTGCGGTGAGCTGTTCAAATGGCTCCGACGCCAGGGAGATTCATGTGCGGCGCCGCCACTTTCCATCAGCTTGCCGCTTCAGCTACTCGCGAGTTGGCGCGAGCGTTCTGCCATCCACGCGTTGGCTGCAAAGTCCAGCAGAGCAGTGCCACAGCCGGCTTGTCGCTGGCGTCAAGCCCAAGAAGGGCAGCGTGCTGTCTTCAGGGAGGGTGTTATCTGGATAGATGATATCCTTGAAGGTAGCCTTAGAGCGACCTTGGTGCAAAGCTTGCGTAGCCATTTTGCCTGCGGGAATTCAGTGTTCCCTCAAGGCAGAGCACACATAGCGACTTCTTGCCAGAGCTGCCCGTAAGAGAGATGTTCTGCCGTGTCCCTTGATCAACGACAACATCTAGATCTTTTGTTGCCCCATGTTGGCCTGCGGGTGAGCAGGTTCAGGGCATTGTCATTCTTTCTACAGATTTCACTTCTTTAAATTTCGAGTCGGTGCTTATTCTCTTTTTCTCTCAAACCTGTCATGGGTGTGTGTGCGCCGCGTTCTGAGCGTAAGCCTGAGATTGGGCAGGAAGTCGCATGTGAGTTGCATGCTTTGCGTGAGTTGCACGTAGTAAAGTCAGTGTGAGCAGAATGCCGAAGCTCGCGCCGTGCTGTGTGGCCGGTGGCGGGTTGAATGCATGCCTTCGCGTAGCGAGCGTTCAGCTCAAACCGTGCCTAGCCACTGCCCCGCTGCTTAGTGTGCCAGCCTTTGTGCGATCATGGCAACCCCTGAGCAGATCTTCGACGATCTTGCCCAGAGATTCAAATTGGAAGCACCTGTCATGGCGCAGATTGTCAAGCTAGGCATCACTACTTTGTCAGAGTTTCGCTTTTACTGTCAGGATTACAGCGAGTTGCAAGCGTCCTTCTTCACACCGGTGGAGAGCAACCTGAGTAATGCACGATTGCAGAAGGCGCGCCTGCGCCAGGCCTGGGCGGCTGTGTGTCAAGCCGAGAGCGCCCGTGAAGACAAGGGTTCAGCTGCCACGGTGTCCTTCGACGAGGAGGATCTTTAGCCAGCCTCACAGCTCAGTACTATCAAAGAGATGTTTTGGCGCCGATACCGTATCGTCATGCCGTTCCGACAGATGGGTGTCTCAGGCCCAGCGTGCGCTCACCAAGCGGTCCATGGATGTAGTTGATGTGTGGGACGTGCGGTCTATCTTCAACCAGCGTACATCCACGGCCAAGCGCCGCCGCGTAGCTGGCAGGGTCCTCTACATCGCTGAGCAAGGAGATGAGGACGATGCCACCTCAAGCGAGCAGACCTGGTTCACCTACCTGCAGCAATTGCGTGTCTACCTGTACTCCCTGGCGTTGCCCGGGGCTGTAGCAGTTGATCCAGCACCGACTGGGAAGGAAACGCCTGAGAACAGTGTGGAGCATGTGCAAGTGCAAGTGCCTTTGGATGTGTTGCTCAAGTACTTGTACCGTTGTGAAAAAGCTGGCGCTCTAGTTGCCTGAGCGGGCCAGGCTACAACACATCCAAAGCCTGGACCGAGCTGAGCGAGGCGAGGGGGCGCAGCGCTTTGCCAATAGTTCCGCTACGCTCGGACAGTGCGTGCTGGCTGTCTATCGCGAGCGTGATGCGCACTGGTTGGCTCCTGCCTTCACAGTTCCAGGCAGGGAGATGCCGCCGCGGCCCCCAGCATCCAGGCGTGTCAGCACTGAGGTCCCGCCGAATGAGGATCCGCACAGTGGCCAGCTCGCCAAGCAGTTCCGCGATGGCACGCGTTTCTGTGACGCATACCAGCAAGGCCGCCGCCCCAAGCAGGGCGAGAGTAACTGCGCGAATGGGCAGCATCGGTGTGCTATGACTTTCCGCACTGGGCGAGTGTGTGGAGCAAAGGACCACATCGGAAAGGACTGTCGGGCCTTTAAGCGCACGTTGATTGCCAGATGAGAGTGGGGATGCTCGCGGGTGCGGTAGCGAGGCACAGTCTGCGCCGTTGCGAGGTACCGATCTGAGTAGCACAGCATTCCCCCAGCATGTTCAGCAATTAGAGTCTTTCTGGCATTCTCAGGTTGAGCGGGTTGATGACCAGGCCCAAGTGTCCGTGTTTTTGGACTTGCTTTCCGGGCCCCGTTGTCCTCTTGCATGTGCCTTGGAATGGGCGGGTTGGAAGGTGCTGCAACCGGTGGATATTGCTATCCATCCTAGTTTTGACGTCGCTGATCCGTCAGCACAGCATGCAATTGGCAATTGCGGAGGCGCTGCCCTCCGTGCATCTTTGCGCTGCTGCAATAGACTGCAGCACGAAGAGTAGAATTCGAGAAATCCCTGTGCCAGGCTGCCAGGCACCAAACGCGTGCCCAAACCTTTGCGGAGTCCCAAATTCCCCAGGGGCGTACCCAATGTGAGGGGAAGACAAGCTGCCCGGATCGCAGCCGACAATGAGTGTTCTGACTTCCGACTTCCTGCTCGCTGTGCAGCACGTGTTGCATGTACACGGCAGAGGAGCCATGCGCGAAAACCCTGGCAACAGTCTGCATTGGTTTGACACTGTAGAGCAGTATCTTGAAAATACACAGGAGCGTGGAGTGATTTCAAACACTTTGCGTGTGTCTTCCTGGCTGCGCGGAGGAAGTTCCAAATCATCCGCCACAACCTTGCCAGCATGCAGATGTTGCCTTTCCACCAGTGCGGACACTTGCACGACCCAGTGGTCTCCAGCAGTCCATGACTCAGGGACTATTAGTTGCCCTAGCACAGACGAGGCTGCGTACTCTGCGTCACCATGCTTCACGCTCGTTGTAGCTGAGCTGCTTCCCACTGGGCAGTGGATACAGGGTATGCGGTGCTAAGAATCCAGCGTCTTCCTCCGGTTCAAGTGTCCGGTGACTGGAGTTTCCTAGTGAAGTTGCCGCCGAAAAGTTTTCGTGAGGATGCCGTGGTCTTGATGGCTTCGCATGTTGGCCTGATGCCATCCGCAGACTCTGCGCTCCGCGTGCAGGTGCAGGATGTATGGCAACGGGGCGAACCGTTGTCAGCGGAAGTTGCGTACATACGCCATAGTCACCTCTCGCACAGGTTGCCCGTTACGTGTTGGGAAAATCCTTTTGTGGCTGGCCGGGATGGCAGCCCTGAGCTGGTGGTTCTCAAGTACATGCAGTGGTTCCCCAAAGCAGGCTTGGAGCAGCGTTTGCCGGAGCTTCGGGGCAAGAAGCTGGCGTGTGACTGCGGAGCCTCCGACCTTTGTCATGGTGACTTCCTTCTAGGGCTCCTGTTGCCGAGCACAGACGTGTCAGGACATGCGCAAAAGCCTGAGCATTTCAGGGCGCATCCTTCTCGCCGCCATGGCAGGTCTGCAGATCCCCGGGAGTGTTGCTTACCCCATCAGTCAATCCTCCATAGTTTCTGCCGCACAATCTTTATATTTCAGGGTAGTTCGCACCTTTCCTTGCGCTGGCCATACATTAAGGATCTCGTCAATTCGCCGCCTTTTACAGCTTTTGGTGACTGGCTGCGTGAGCGTGGGCTGCCCGATGCCGGCGTGCTTGGCCCTCGAGCTCTGGGCTCGGCGTGTGTGATGGCCCGGCGAGCGAGTGCGGCAGACCAAGGTGCTGTTGCCAATAAGCGCCATGCCGTACCACCCGTTGTGTCGGATGGACAGACTGCAGACAGCCATTTCCGGTGTGCCCTGGATGTCCAACTGCACGGGTGCCCTCTTGACGGGGAAGCAGTAGTGGACCACGATGTGCAGTTTGCAGCAGCTAGCATGGCAACTGACCTCGCAAGTCTGCGGCGCATCAGGGCGGATGCCATGGCACTCTTGAAGGAGTTGGCTCTGCGGCTTTGGCCTGTGTCGCAACAGTTGCATGCTGTGCAACACCAAGACGTGCACTCTGTCAATCCTCGTGTCCACCTAGCGTTATTTGCAGTGTGCGTCGTGCTGCTGGCCTGGCCGGACACGTCCCTTGTCCAAGGGTTGTTAGAGGGCTTTTTGGCTGTCGGGTACCAGGAACCATGCGGGGTGTGGCAAAGCAAGCCTGCACGTTTCTGCACCTTGCAGGATGCTCTGAGTGAGGGTAGACGTGATGCTGAAGCTGTTGTGTCCTCTCTCCGACCGTCAGAAGACGACCAAGTTGTGTGGGAAGCTGGGGAGCAGGACGAGAAGGCAGGATTTTGTCACCCGAGTGTGGGGTGGCAGGAACTGACTGCTGCTGGGCGACTTTTCCGCGTGATTCGGCGCTTCGTCGTGACGCAGGCCAGCGGCAAGAAGCGCGTCATTGATGATGCTCTGGCCGGCAGGCAGAGCGAATTAAGCAGTGATGCCAACAAGCTCCAGTTCTGTTCGGCCATTCAGCCGTGCCTTCATGCGCAAGCCCTTGCAGCAGAGTTGGCCCGCCAAGGAAAGCGTTGTGCTGAGTGGCCTGATACCCTGGCCACAGCGGGAGAGGACCTGCATGATGCATATCGCAAGATCCCAATGCGCCCGGATCACGCCTGGGCGTGTGTTGTAGCTTACAACGATTGCCGGGCTGGGGGCCCGCGTTTTAGGCGGTATAAGGGTACGCTGTTCGGGTTGCCGCTTTTAGTTTCCGCTTTCAACAGGCTTCCGATGTTCCTGCAATGTGTGTGTAGGAGACTGCACCGCGCCTTATAGTTTCAATGTATTTTGACGACTTGACAATGCGGGACTGGAGCAGCCTAGCCACAGAGACGCAGCTGTACGTCGAAGAGCTGTTTGAGTTGTTAGGTTCCCTTTTCGACCGAAAAACGGCAAGAACCGGCAGCCGCCGGAGATTTTCTCGGGCTCATGCATGATTTTTCTCAACTGCAGCAGTCCGGGTCTGGGTGCGTGAGCGCTTGGTTGAAAAAATCGGAGACATCATCCGAGAAGCTCAAGAAACAGACACCCTCAAGCCAGGGCAAGCTAGTGAGCTGTACGGCTGTTACCTTTCTCGACCAAGGTGTGTTTGGGCGGGTAGCCCGTCCAGGCCTCACTGCTGTAAAGGACCGGCAGTATGCTTCTCGCGGCCATGCTTGCCTCACTGACGAGCTGCGTTCAGCCTTTGACACCATCCGAGCTGTGCTTGACATGCGGCCTCAGCGTCCTGTTCGTGTCCTTCCCCAGTTGGGTAGCAGAGTCTTGGCAGCTAGTGGTGCTGCCCAGGATGCATGCCGGATTGGATCCGGAGGGTTTCTTGTGGTTACTCCCAAGAAAGAGCGGCTGGGCGCAGTCGTCCCTGTTGATGATGCAGTGTTCCATCTCTGGGACGAGCAAGAGACGAAGATTGCTCAGTTGGAGCTGCTCATGGTGCT